TGAATTTACCCCTAGGATTCTGGGTTTTCCAGATTGTGCTAAACCTGAGTGTTGGTACTTTCTTCAGTAAATTCAGAAGACAATAGGGCAGCACTGTCAGGAAATGCTTGTGTTGCTAAAATGCTATCTTCTCTACTTCATTCTTTTTGATCACTGAGTAATATTCTATTGTACAATTACACCACATCTTTTTTATCTACTCATCAGTCTGTGGACATTTGGGCTCTTTCCATAATTGAGCTATTGTTGATAACGCTGCTGTAAACATTGGGGTACATGTGTCCCTTTGCATCAGCAATTTTGTGTTCTTTGGATAGATACCTAGTCGTGCAATTGCTGGGTCTTAGGGTAGCTCTATTTTTAATTTTTTGAGAAACTTCCATACTGTTTTCCAGAGTGGCTGCACCAGTTTGCATTCCCACCACCAGTGCAAAAGTGTTCCCCTTTCTCTGCATCCTCGCTGGTATCTGTTGTTTCCTGAGTTGTTGATTTTAGCCATTCTGACAGGTATGAGATAGTATCTTACTGTGGTTTTGATTTGTATTTCCCTGATGATGAGTGATGTTGAGCATCCTTTCATGTGTCTGTTAGCCATCCGTATGTCTTCTTCGGAAAAGTATCTATTCATGTCTTTTACCGATTTCTTCAGTGGATTATGTTTTATGGGTATTGAGTTTGATAAGTTCTTTATAGATTTTGGATGCTGACCCTTTATCTGATACATCATTTGCAAATATCTTCTCCCATTCCGTTGGTTGCCTTTTAGTTTTGCTGATTGTTTCCTTTCCTGTGCAGAAGAAGCTTTTTGTCTTGATGAGGTCCCATTAGTTCATTTTTGCTTTTGTTTCCCTTGCCTCTGGAGACCTGTCTAGTAAGAAGTTGCTGTGGCCAAGGTCAAAGAGGTTGCTGCCTGTGTTCTCCTCTGGGATTTTGATGGTTTTGGGTCTCATATTTAGGTGTTTCATCCATTTTGAGTTTATTTTTGTATATGGTGTAAGAAAGTGGTCCAGTTTCACTCTTCTGCATGTCGCTGTCCAGTTTTCCCAGTGACATTTGCTGAAGAGACTTTTTTCCATTGGATACTCTTTCCTGCTTTGTCGAAGATTAGTTTGCCATACATTTGTGGGTCCATTTTGGGGTTCTGTTTTCTGTTCCATTGGTCTGTGTGTCTGTTCTTGTGCCAGTACTATACTGCTTGATGATTACAGCTTTGTAATACAGCTTGAAGTCTGGAACTGTGGTGCCTCCAGCTTTGGTTTTCTTTTCCAACTTCACTTTGGCTATTTGGGGTCTTTTGTGGGTCCACACAAATTTTAGGATTGTTTGTTCTAGCTCTGTGAAGAATGCTGGTGTTATTTTGATAGGGATTGCATAGAATGTGTAATTTGCTTTGGGTGGTATAGACATTTTAACAATATTTGTTCTTTCCATCCGTGAGCATGGAATGTTTCTCCATTTCTTTGTGTCTTCTTTAATTTCTTGCATAAGATTTCTAATCTTACCTCTTTGATTAGGTTTATTCATAGGAATCTGATGGTTTTTGGTGCAGTTGTAAATGGGATTGATTTCGCTTTATGCTGTTTCATTATTGGTGTATAGAAATGCAACCGATTTCTGTACGTTGATTTTATGTCCTGCGATTTCGGTGTATTTATGTATCAGTTCTAGCAGTTTTTTGGTGGAGTCTTCCGGGTTTCCCGCATAGAGTATCATGTCATCTGTGAAGAGTGAAAGTTGACTTCTTCTTTGCTGATTTGGATGCCTCTTATTTCTTTTTGTTGTCCGATTGTCTTCTTCATCAGTCAGTGTTATTTCCTTTTCAAACTCAAGATGGGAGCAGAAGCTTCACAGTTTCTTCTTTTGCTCTTTGCAAATTTATCAAAAGCTTCACAGAGTGGAGAATGGCTCTTGAAACCACTGAACTTCTTGCCATTTCTTCCCCTGAGTGAAGGCACTTGTGTGGGGTTGTAGCTCTGTTTAAAGGTCATCATGGAGGCCTTTATTTAGATCCCTCTAAAACCTTAATATCCTGCAGAAAGTCACACAGGAATCCAAAGGACTTCTGTGTTACATGGATGTCATTCCTCGATTTGCTAATCCTGTTTGAGCTCATCTGCACTACAGAAGCACACTGTGTAACAAAACACATGATTTTCTGGCTCAGAAAGATTAAAAAGAAGAAAAGGATATAAAAGTTAGGATCATTTGAGTATTTGTAACTTAAAACACCTGAATTTCACCTTGACCTCAAGTTAAAAAGTTCTATATACATTAGACAGCTCCAAAAGCTGATGGCACATTTTGTGCTGGAATGGAGTATGATGGGAGATGGGCTGCACAGCGAGGAAGATAGTATTTGGGGGATTCCAGGTGAGTCCCTGAACGCTAATGGTAGAAAATTATCCAGTTTATACCAACGTGTAAAAAAGAGACTTCTCTGTTCAGCTTCATCCAGGCATACAAGCTAAATGTTGCAGGATACGGAGGCACACACACTTTTGCCATTCTTTGCCTGTTGCCATGTTTACCACCCATGGCCACCCAAATTTCACTGATGGTAACTCTGCGAGCAACAATTTTCTTGGCGGTGTGGCAGTACTAAAGGTTTGAGTGATTCAGCATTAGCCTTAAGGCCAGGTCACGGTCAGCCCTGTCAGTAGAAATATACACAGCAACTGTGTTGCAGGCAACAGAGCCCGGCGTGATAAAATATGGAATCAATCTGCTTCTATTTATTAGAGGAGAAAAGTACGATTTTTAACTTATGTTATAAACCCCAACAGCCAGCTTTAGATTTGTGATGGGGTTGGTCAGCCCTGCGTATTTTGAAGATTTTTTTTTTTTGTACATTTTGTAGAATATAGCTAACCCAGATCATTTCAATGATATTCTCTTGCCACTTGTTCCTTTTCTGCGCCCCCAACTCATTCTTAAATCACATTTGCAGCTCTTCCTTAATACTGGAATGTATGTTCCATAGATAACCCTTCCCTTGTGGCCTGGCTTTCATATTTCCAGGTGCGTAACATTCATCTCCTGAAAAATTGCTCTGTTTTCAAAGAGCGACTATAATTTTCCTTCACTGTCGTGAAGGGGTTTGTTTTCTTCATATATGCTCAAACGGCACATGAAGAAACATGGGCTTATTGGAGTGTAACAGGGTGAATAATGGGTTGGAAACTCAGAGGCTCAAAGTTTTGGTTTGGCCACTAACTCATCCTGAAACCTGGATAAAACTACTTCCTAATCTCTCTGTCACTCAGTTTCTGTTTATCATTAATACCATTAACCCTACCTAACTCCCTTTATGGGGTGGCGAGGTTAGGGTAACAGCCATCAGCAAACATTGTCCAATATTGATCCCTTAACTAGCCTATTAATTTATAAAGGATCTATCTACATGTATGTTTTTTATTCAGTCCTTAAAATAATTCTCTTGGAAAGGTGGTCTTCTCCATTTGCTGTTTAGGAAATCACAGCTTGTCGACAAGATAAAAATTTCACACTTTCTCTAGTAGTGGATGTATGTTTATAGATATCTGCTGGGTATATACTAAAGTAAACCCACACAAACATACAAACACACATCTTCTTGAAAATTATGATTCACAGTGAGGGAAGTTTTTAAAAGGTATACTCAACGGGGGGGTGGGGGTGGGGAGGGTGGGAATAGTCTCCTTACTCAGTAGAAATCATGAGTCCAGTCACATGTGACTAGCATTTCTTTTTTCATCCTTATGCTCCAGATTTAGGTGTTCTTTCCCCTCAGAGTTTCAATAGTTTTCTTCTCTGCCTAAAAGACTTTATAATGCCCTGTTTTCCCTTTTATCTTAGAACATTTTGCTTTTATTTTTCTTTATTATATAATATTCATATCATTATTTTAATTGCCATTTCTGTTGACCTTAGACATGGGGCGGGCCAAGTGACACAGTTGATGCCAGGGTATCTGAATAGCTTGAATCCATGCGGAAACTCTTCAGCAGTCATGGGCAGGCTAGTGCTGTATATATAAAGGTACAAATTGCTCATGGAGATGTCTGAGAATGACCATCCTCCGATTGCAGTGATGATTACATCCGTATGCTCAGTCATACCAGTCATGAAAACACCGCCCCCATCAAGGAGTCAGCTGGTGGTGGTGCTGAACTGGAAGAGAGATACATTGATGGCAAGGAGTGTCACAGGGCCAGTAAAGTTTTCTAAGATTCCGCAAATCGGACCAATCTGCTTCTGTAGGTTGCACGAGAATATTAAAGTGGCTGCAATCACCAAATGGTGGCACCATTCTAGAATAGCGTTGTCCCGTAGCACCTTCTGAGATGGTGGAAAAGCTCAGTATCTATGCTTCCCAACGTGGTAGCAACCAGCCGGATGTGCCTATTCAGCACTTGAAATGTGGCTAGTGTGGCCAAGGATCTAAGCTTTTAATATTATGGAATTTAAGTTAATTTTAATGTAAATAGCCATCTGTGGCTAGTGACTACCAGATGATCAGTGCAGGTCAGCGAATAAATGCCTAGTTTTGTTACTTAGAAGGCTAACTGCAGTAACTTCAAGGAAACTTCCCATTCACTCATCATTTTTTTGTTGTTGTTTGTTTTAAATGTTTATTTATTTTTGAGAGGGAGAGACAGGGAGAAACAGAGCGCGAGCAGGGGAGGGGCTGAGAGGGAGGGAGACACAGAATCTGAAGCAGGCTCCAGGCTCGGAGCTGTTAGCATGAAGCCTGATGCGGGGCTTGAACTCACAAATTATGTGATCATGACCTGAGCTGAAGTCTGCTGTTTAACCTACTGAGCCACCCAGGTGCCCCACCCCCCGCCATTCACGGATCTTGAGAATGCTTTAGGGTAAAAAGATATGAAAGGGATGGGACTCTCAAAGCTTAAGTAAGACACATGGCATTGCTGTCAACCCATATAAATGACAGTGGCTTGGAGAAATGGCCAGAAAGTAGTATTTCAGGTTGTAACTCTCCTTTGATTTTCTTTTTGCAGGTTCTTTCATGTTGGTGAACACATCTGGGAGACCTGAGGGGCAGAGGGCCCACCTTCTCTTACCTCAGCTCAAAGAAAATGACACCCACTGTATTGATTTTCACTATTTTGTATCCAGCAAGAGTAATGCTGCTCCTGGGTTACTCAATGTCTACGTGAAGGTCAACAACGGAGCTTTGGGGAATCCTATCTGGAATATATCTGGAGACCCTACCCGCACATGGAACAGGGCAGAACTGGCCATTAGTACTTTCTGGCCGAATTTTTATCAGGTATGCTCTTTGTTTGCATTTCCTGTTTTGATGCATCTTCTGAAATAGTTTTTTTTTATATTCATATAAACAAAGAATGTATAAGAAGTGTAGGTATTTTTTATACCAATGTTAGGAAAGCTTGTGCTATTTGATAAGGGAGTGTATTCAGTCTTTGTACATTACCTTGAGAAAAGAGTAAAAAAACACCTTTCAACTTTGTTTATGCAGATATTTTAAGAAATTAAAAGCAAAATCAAGGCAAAAAAGTTGTTTTTAGTAGCCTGCAGCAGGGCAGGAAGCACTATCTGCAAGCACTATATTAAGTTAGCCATATCTAACCCATGGAGACGTAGCACTTGATTCTAGAAGAGGAAGCCCTATTGCTCATGAGTTACTGGCAGGAGCAAACGAGTCATTGAGAAGTGAGCCTCATGGGCCAGCTAGCAAGGGGCAGCTTCCTGTTCCCATCCCTGTAAGCAACGGGAAGAAGATAACTTGTGTAGGCTCAGTCCTGTCATGGAGCAGCTGCTGTCCTGTTATTTGGGATGTTCTGTTAAGACCCACATTACCCACTTGGAATTCTCAGTTAAAGTAAGTACATGGTGGAGGCAGAGACAGTTAAAAAGTGGTACCAAAGTGGACCTGATGTCATGTCCCTGCTGTCAGAGAGTGACTTGTGTCACAAGAGCATCCTGACTCAGGATTAAAGGTGGGAAGTTAGTGACAAGGACATGGGTGCTCCTTTTTTTTTACCCCCTTTTGTCCATAGCACCTTCAAAAAATAACTTGGGGTCCCTGGGCAGCTCAATCAGTTGAGCATCCGAATTGGGCTCAGGTCATTATCTTGCAGTTCGTGGGTTTGAGCTCCGCGAGCCTAGAGCCTGCTTCAGATTCTGTGTCTCCCTCCCTCTCTGCCCCTCCCCTGCTTGCACTCTGTCTCTCAAAAGTGAATAAACATTAACAAATTTTTTTAAAATAACTTGATATTGAGAACACTCAATTTCACGCTAAGAAGATTCATTAAGAGGATTGAGATATTTTGCTTTTCTCTTTCTTAATTCCTTTGGCTTGCTCAAGAGCCAGCTGGAACATGTATCCAAGGTCCTCTCTCATATTTAATTGAGGTGCTTGGCTAGACTCAGGGAAGGGAAAACGGAGTCCTCTCCAGGTCTGCTTGTCTTCCGAATGGCTTTCAATGTTGTACCTAATGTGTCTCTGTAACCTTTACCTACAATAATTTCTAGAATTTAATGAATGATAAATAAATGTGTTTTGAGTAGTATGCATGTAAATTGTTAAATAGTACACAGGTAAATTGTTAAAAATCTTTCAAAAGGACACTTAAGCAATACGTTATAAAAGTTAAAAATTTAGATAGATCTGGGGCATCTGGGTAGCTCAATCAGTTAAGCATCTGACTTTGGCTCAGGTCATGATCTCATGGTTCGTGAGTTCGAGCCCCGTGTCGGGCTCTGCGCTGACAGTTCAGAGCCAGGAATCTGCTTCAGATTCTATGTCTCCCTCTCTCTCTCTGCCCCTCTCCCACTCGCACTCTGTCTCTGTCTCTTTCTTGCTCTCAAAAATAAACGTTAAAAAAAAAATTAAAACACAATTTAGAAAGATCTAAATTTGGCAATCTACTGTTAGGAATTCATCCGAAGGAAATAACAGAGAATGGTTGCAAATTATTAATTACAAGAATACTCATGGCAATTTATTTATAATAATGAAAAATCAGAAACAGTATTATTTCCAACATTAGATGGTTAGTTAATTTATGTTGCCTCAATACTAAAATGCATTTTGCAACCATTACGAATAATGTTATGGAAAACCATATAGTGACCTATTTAAGCCTATGTTGTTAAGTGGGAAAAGTGGTATAAAACAGTAAATTTCACAGTTTAAATTTTATATATTATATATTTTTTAATTTTAAAAATACATAATAAAATATATATATGTTTATATGTTATATACTTATTT